GMRGMRRSAAGAAAGATAAATTGTTTTTGTTTCACAAACAACAACAAATAGCATATTTTTGCCCAGRCAATATTCTCCCCATTTAACAGAACAAGGATAAGAAAAATAAAACTTGTTGTTGTCTTTCCAATAGTAGGGAGRAGTATTCTTCCTTTTTTTCTTGCTTCTTCTCTATTTTGAAAACAAAMAGAATATCATGAGGGAAATAGTAGTATTCACTTTGTTGAAAAGCCAAAGGAATACCCTTGTTGAACAGTCAGTCAGTTCTTCACACCACCAACTTCTTCTTAAAAAAGCAATTCTGCATGCACAACCTTTTCTTGGTTTCCCTCTGATGTAAAGGTCAATGATTGTACTACTACCATYATTTTCCATGGATAATTCCTAGCAGTACATTCAACTACTAAACCGTAGACCTGATAGTAGTAGTAGTAGTAGCTCTCTTTTTGTTAAAATGATACTAGTACATTACAAAGTTGACRAATACTACTACTGCAACAATATTAACTCCTGCTAAAACTGGTGTTTGCTTCCTCTGGGATTTTGTACACCAGTACTAGCTAGTAGTACTGGCTAGAAATTACTAATGCTAGTAGTAGCATAATGCATCATTAGCTTCATCCACTTTCAAATTCATCCTCTGTTCATGACCCCTTGTTTTCCTACTACTAATACTTACTGCTGGTCAGATGATTCACCTTGTGATGTRTTGAAAAATCTAGCAGYASTAMKWAGTAGGAAGTCAGTAAGAAGGCAGCATCWTACATAGTATGGARCAAAATAATGGTTTTCAATGTTATTGAATTTTTAGTCAGCCACCAGAAAATAAGGAGATATGACGGATGATATTTTTCTTTGTGGAAGACATGAGTTCTTAAGCCTYTAGTAGTACTCATCCTCATGGTACTAAGGAGCTCAACCAAGCTACAGAAGAATTCAATATATGTTTTATGGAGTAATCAGCACTGGTGATGTATTTTGTGCAAAAATGACMAATTAAAAATGCTAAACCATATCTGKGWTAGTTCTCCAAAAATTCATCAAAAATTTTAGTTGATGATATATGATCATGAAATTGAGGAATGATGGTACCTGGGCTACAGATTCATGTGCTACTAACATCAAGCTGATTCTATGTTCTACTAAGGATTTTGTTGTGGAAACAACAATAAGAGTTCAGAATGACAAAATAGTGCAAAATCCAGTCTCATGCCAATATCTTGCAGACTAGTAGTAGTTCTCCAGCCATTTACCCAATTGTTTTTTGGTCATCTCATGACATATTGGAAAGAAGTGYATGGGCTGCAGAATCATGTACTGGAATCACAATACTTTTGTGTTTTGAAGATTTTCTGGAGTGGAATATTGTGCAAAATGAGGCAGTACTATTATTCTCGTGCCAATATTTTGTGGAATGGTTGTTATCCAGCCATTTAGTACCCAATTGTTTGTTGGTCATGACATATTGGAAAGAAGTGCATGGGCTACAGAATCATGTACTGGAATCACTCTATTTCCATGTTCTAAGTATTTAGTTTGGTGATAGTGCTGAACAACTGTCATTTTTACCACACAATGCCATTTTGGGCAAACAAAATTTCAACAGCTGTGCATTGTGTATTGGTATTTTTTATCCATGGTGAAGCATATGTATTYTTTTGCTTTTTGGTCATGGATGGAACTGATAATTTTTGTGAACTGTGGATCTTTTTGCTTCATGTGCCCATCTAAGGAACATTGTGTCTGGTTGCATCATTCATCATGGTAGTATAAAATAACAGGAAGGTATGGCTTGGCAAAAGGCTCCATTCATACATAAGAAATAGAGCTGCCACCATTACCACCAATGCACAAATCTTCCACCCTAGTCACAGGCTAGTACCAGTACTAGTATTAGTAGTACAATGTACTAAAATACTATTTCTCCTGTAAGAAAGAACAACCTCTACTATTTCCACCAATACTACTGTCAAGAAACCAATTATTGCTTCTACTACTASTAGCAGTAGTGGAGTACTGCTGTCAAAAAACATTATGAGAAGCTCAATCACCACTGCATTAAAAAAGTGACTTTACCAATGCATGTACCTTCCTCCCTACTACTAGTAGTCACCACTAGTAGTAGCAACTACTACTAGTAGTAGGCTAGTACTACTACTACTAGTAGTAGTCTACTTCTATGTTGTTGAATGTAAAACACAGTTTTTCTGGAACCACCACTATTCCCAATACAGTCAACAAACCAACTCCTCATATCAGCAGTACTATTAATAGTACTGGCAGTAGTGCTACTAGTATGTAATGCAGTGTGAAGTCCATCATAATCTGAACAAGAAGTTTCTTGTTAGTATCATGCTCAGCATACTACTACTCGTCTACTTTCCTCTGCTGTGGAGCTCTAGAGTGGGTGGTGGTGGTAATTCTATTTGCTGATAATTGCTGATAGTAAATTTGAAGCAGAACACCAAATTCTCTTTTGAAATCCCAACTCTCTTTCTTTCACAAGATTTGTATTCTCTTCAGCTATATTCTTTGCAGCAATTAACTACGTAGTACATTACAACTTCCAATATCACCATGCTAACAAAGCGAGAGAGATGGATCTGACGTTTTCTGTTTCTCTCATACGAAAAAGAGTGCTAGTTGTAGTACCGTACCGTACTTCTAACCGTAGGTTCGTACCTGTATCAGTACCAGTACCAGTACGAGTACGAGTACGTACTCTGATGACTGATACAGTAGGCGCGTACGTACGTACCGTAGGTATCCAGGAACGCAATGATCCCAATAGATCAACGCGCGCCCATCGCGTCGAAAATATCAAGGGTCAACGTTGTGCTGCACATGGGAATCATCAAAGCTTCCAAGTCCCGGTTGACACACGACTCCGACCAGGCATGCCCGTGCATTGGGATCACAACGATATTCCTATGTAATTCAAAATTCGAAATCGAATTTGAACTTTTGAACGTTTTCTAGGTGGTTAGACTACAGGTCCGCGTACGTACTGAACTCGTACCTGGTGTACACATTCCGTCGATGGGCATGAGAAAGATCTATTGCCCATCAGGAATTGGAGGGCCGATGATTCATCATCCTACCGTACTCGTACTGCATCCAGGATACGAAGTCGAACCCAAATGTTGCTATTATGTTTTCGCCTCCGAACCTAACAGTGCAGGCCTTGGAAAGGAAAAGCAATAATTGCGCTACGTGCCATAATTTGCACCGCATTAAATACACCCGACCACACCACGCCTCAGCAATCGTAGAATAGAATACACCATGGCAGCTACAAARTTCCGGATTCTTCCGCTAGTGCTGCTCGGGTCCTTCCTTTGCTTTCTGCTGCTCCCCTCGGAGACGCTCGGGAGGGTAGGAGGCACRGTCTCTCGAAATGATGGTGTGCTCGATGACGAAGCCAACGACGGAAACACCTCCCACAACAAACGACATCTGGGAGGAGGCTACGGCGGACACAAACCCACACGGTACAACAACAACCACCCTGGCAAGCACCACGGCCACTATGAAACACGCAACGTGTATTTCCGACCCATCACTAAGCCGAAGCATCACGGATCGTACTACTATATCAAGCGGCCTGTYGAGGATCCGAGGAAACCCAAGCCGCAACCCACCGCCATCCACAAACCCTCGCACCAGCCCACAGCAACACCTCACCACAATCATGATCACGAATACGGTCACGATCACGAGCCCGAACCAAACCAACCCAGCTTCGGCCTGAGCTTCATACCTATTTCGGACCGGGACAAGGAGGAGGAACAGTCAGGTTTCCCCRTTGCTTCGCCAGTGGAGGCAGAGACACCAACCCCCACCCAATCGCCATCGGAGTCGAAGGCCTTGACTCCCGAGCCCACTGCTGTTGTCCCGTCGCCGACCCCCGACCTCACCACCGGTAGTGTTGGCGATTCCAGCATCCCCATTCCGGACGGTGAGAGCGACCAACAGCAGAACGAACAGAGCACCAACATTGATGTGGGAGAACCCTCTGAAATCCAGCGTCGGATTGCTGCGCTTGCCCTGGGAGGTGGAGCCGAATTTGAGGATCCTTCCTCGTACCAATCTGCCGCCCTGAGAAGGGTCGAGCAGCAGGACGGTGCCAACGCTATGTCGGACGCCAAACTGATGCAGTACTTTAGCCTTTACTGCATCTTTGCGTCAACAAACTCCAAATCCAACGATTTTATCCGCCAGTCCCGGGCCTTCGATGGTGAAGAGATACCTGGTTGGACGTCCAACAGCGGCTGGCTCGAAACCAATTCTGATCCCTGCGTTGGCGATGGTTGGTGGGGGATAACTTGCTTTGACGACAAGGTCATCAACCTCGACCTCTTCGACAACGGCTTGACGGGTAACTTTCCTCCCGAGGTCGTTTATCTGGCCGGTGATGGGCCCCACTCGACAGGGGCGGGAGAGTTGGTGGCACTTGATGTCTTCAACAACCGGCTCATGTCCAACAATGGGGACAACTCGTGGATGGGAGATCTGGGATCGCAGCTCGGTGCGTATATTCCAATGGATACTGTCAGGGAATTTGGGGCAGGATCTTGTTTGGAGGCACCCGATTATACTTTCTTCGAATCAATGATGCCAATTTTCCCTCAAAGAGATCTTTCTCATTTTTTTTAAATCGCTTCTTTCGCATTTCAGGATATCTCTACATCCAGAACACTGTTTTCTCGGGGCAACTGCCGACCAAATTCCCCGAGGGACTCGTCGAACTGGACATCGCCAACAGCATGATCACTGGTGGCTTGGATGGAGCCGCATTTGAGGGCCTGGACTCACTTCGGTTCTTGTTGATGGACGGCATCCAGGTGAATGGAACTATTCCGGCGGAAATTGCAAGGCTGCCGAACCTCGAGTACTTTTTTGCGACTGATTCGATGATCACGGGAGACTTGAGCTACATGGAATCTATGTCGGTGATCTTCGAGCACTGGGTTGACCGAAACCCGGGGCTGGGCGGAACCATCCCTTCCTTCCTCGGAGATCTGACAACCCTCCAGTCTTTCTCGATCGCCGAGTGCAGCTTCACCGGGACCATCCCGGAGACCATCGGAAACCTGGAGCTGATGCAGCAGATGTGGCTGTACGGAAACCAACTCAGTGGAGAAATTCCCGCCTCTGTTGGTGACCTGAAGTTCATGAGGATTTTTGAGGTGGAGGGAAACAACCTTAGCGACAGTATGCCGCAGAGCGTGTGCGACAACTTCCAGCAGGGAATGCTACAGGTCCTCGGCGCCGATTGCGACAGGATTAACGTAAGTACAACAGGATACGATAAATGCTATGCGGAGTCCTGGTTCATTTTGTTTGGGCATTGCTTTGTGCATCTGAGGTGATGCTCTATCGTGAAAAGACTCTAACGATCGTTTCTTTCTTCCTTTTCTTGTCCCATCGCAGTGCCCGTGTTGCACTTGTTGCTCCATTGACGAGTGCCGGAAACCAACGGTATAAAGGAGCCATCTCTCGAGTTCGCAACCAAATCAAACGAAAAGTTAAGTTTAAAGAGATAGAATGCCACCCGATGCATCGATTGATTCCCATCGAAGGAATGTTTGCTGCCCTAATCAAATGGATTTTATTCGCCATGCAAATTACCACGCGAATACCAGACGGGGCAACACTGGGGATCGTTGGACGGTGCTGTTTGTCTCGGGTCGATCCAAGCGCATTCACAGTTTAAACTACTACCATGACCCAAAAATACTTGTAACACCACTCCTACCACTACAAATGCACGGCGAATAATATATATTTTATCACAATAACACCACCAAAAAATGTCAATAGATCAAGATTATTCATTACACTTTGTGACGCACCTTACACTGCAAACTGCTGACCAGTTGCCATGAACACCATGGGAAATTCACTTTTGCAGGCATTGCTGGGTTCTGGCCTCCACCCAATGCTGCTGCGGAGGCGGTTGATTCGTTTTTTGATCATCGAACCATCGTCGTCTTCGAGAAAGAATCACCGGTTCGACCAACTGCTCTTGTGCTGCACAGAGGCATTAGAAACGATTCTGCTCCAACGCGAAGCGTTGCATGTGTCTGTTCCAGCATRTTTCTACAGTACGGYTTTGGCATGTATCCTAAGTACTGGTACGGTGTATTTCTTTCGAAGAAATAGTAATTAGGACTCGGAAACAAAACGTGATGACAATTTGTTCCAATGCAGTAAAGCATTGGGGTTGCGGAATATTCTCAAGTCGTGCTACTGTACTACTTGTAGATTGAAAAAAAACCTCATCGCGAATCTTCTATAGTTATATTTCATTCTAGAGCCAACGCACTGTTTGTAGGGTGATCGATCGATCGCCATGCCGCACACATCGATGCCTGGCACGCGTGATCCGTGGTGCATTGGCTAGGATCGGATGCACCGATTGGTTGCATCGTGGGAGGTTGAAATGAAGTGGTGCCGCCTTCCGCATGGCAAAGGGGATATTCCGATGCGATCGCTACAAAGCCCTGCTGTTTCTTCGATTGTATCCTACCGGCATATCGCGACCAGGAACTACAGTGCGGCATCGGGTGTGTAAAGTACGTAAACATAAATCACTTTTGACAATAATTTATTGTGTTCTTGCATTACCCAAACAAATACCACAGCGTGAAGAGGATGCAAGAGGCGATAACCCCGGCCACGATCATGTCGTCCTTGGATCGCTTCTTGCGGATCTGCTCGACCAGGGTGTTGATCCCCGGGATGTTGTTGGCAATCTGCCCCATGGCGCCCTGCGCCCGTCCCAGTGAAAAGCCCTGTGACCTCAGGTCGTTGCGTATTTCCACCGCCTGGTTGATGACAGCCGCGGCGGCCGACTGGCTGTTCGAAATATGGGATCGTTCTCGCATGAGGTGATCCATGCCCATGTTGTCGATTTCGAGGGGGCTCTTTCGTCGGTTCGCACTGGCCCCTTCCATCAACTTGGCGCGTTCCATCTTGCGAGTGTGGGCCTGTCGGGATTTTTCAAAGTCTCCACTGAGGTCAAAGAGAATCTCTCGGTAGCGCTTGACCAGGAGTGACTTGCCGGATCTTTCCGCCGCCGGTTGAAGCTGTGTGTTGACCAAATCCTGGAGATTCGTCATTGTTCTTTGGATGTCGTGCCGAAGAGCGGCCTCGTCTTCGGCTGCCGAAGACGAGGCCCCCATTCCGGATTCCGCCAATAAGAGATCGTTGGAGGCCGTTGCATCGGGGATCGATTGTACGAGCTGCAATCGATACAATCRTTGCAATCGCGAATGGACGGATGGATTGTCGCATCCCGAATCAATTCGAATTCGTGATTGTTTCCGATCCGATTGGTTTCGATTTCCGACCAAACGAATTCGAGAAAACCGGTGCCAGGCCACCAAAAAGAATTCGTTCCGCAAAATAGCAGAACACGTCAAGTTAGAACCCAAAACATGGGATGAATACGCATCGAAATTACTGTACGCTTTTTCTGCTCAATTCTTCCTCTCGGCGAACACCAAACCAGGAACCTACCTGCTGATACCGGGCGACCTTGTCTTCCAGGCTTCGCTCTAGTTTAGTGGCTTCCCGCTTGAGGCTATCGAATTGATCCATGCTGCTGCTGCTGCTCGGTCCGTTAATAGCCGCAGTGCCGCTGCCGTTCTGGATGCTGCTCGCGCTGTTGCTTCCACCACTTGTCGGAGCTGACCGACGTCGCTGGATGGGCGTTGAAAAGCTGGAAATGGTTGCGGTGTGACTGCCGATGGCGAGCTGGATTATTAGCGAAAGAAGCAACAGCAACTGTTTCTGTTTCTGTTACTAACTGGCGCTGAAAATGATTTCCGCTCCTGTCGTTCTTGTCGGTTGTGAGTTAGTAGTTTCTGATTCTTGGTTTGGAGCCGAGCTCGATGGTTCTTGATCTACGGTATCGCAGTTCGCTGTCCACAGCAGTAAGAGATAGTTTTCCCGCAGATTTGATCGATATCCTTCCTGTTCCAACCAAATAGAATAGACAATCGAAGTCGATCCAAAATTCAATGGATGGGTGGATGGATGTTGCAGATGTATCCAAATTTGGGTCGCCGTACACTAATTACTCGTACTCGTACTCGTTCAATGTARAAGATTTTGGATTTTGCATACGAATTGCAATGTCTGCTATTCGTACTGTGTCGTTCCGTTCCGTTCCGTTCTGTTCTGTTGTTCTTGTCGTTGATGTTGCTGTTGCTGTTGCTGTTGCGTGTACTGCGAGCTGTAAACAGTAAACAGGATCAATCGTTGCTAAAAAGATGCCAACAATTCCGTTACAAAATGACCTGTGCTTACGAGTACCTGGTACGACGCGTTCGTACCGAGTTATGAGCTATGAGCGCTCGTACTACTGTATCGTTATGTCGAAGTACGAGTATCGTACCGTACTACTAGGTACAGTAGTACAATACAGTAGGTACTTGCCATATCATACAAAACCTATCGTATCGTACGTACGGTACATTCATAYGGTACGTACGTCTATGCTTAGGGGAATGTGCTTTGGAAAGGAGGGGAGCGGGAAGGTTTAAAGCAATTCTTTTTGTGCAACGGACAGTGACTCGATGGACCCAAAACTGTTTCTTGCGGAAAGACACGAATGAAATGTTTCGTACTGCCTAGCTCGTTTGTCTTGGCGAATCGGAGAGACGGGCGACAACTTACTTAGGAAATTTCAAGACGACCGTTTGACTTTAAATTTATCTCAGCCGGGCGACTCGTGATTGCGATCGCCTAAAAGGTTGGATGATCTCCGTTAGGTGATGAACCAACTGCGGTTTTGTGACGAAAACACCGGTTTTTTATTGGCTAACCGCTGTAATTATAACGGACCGCTCGTCGTTCAAGCATCACAACGTTCGATACAGAATATCGGGAAAGCAACATTGGTCAATAATAGAATGAACCAACTAATGAAAAGGTGGCTTTTAACCAGACATCAATAGCAATTCCGAATCAAGAGACGCAGCTGCAAGTTCAAACAATACCAATCACAACAACGTCGTCGCTTGCGGGAGTGAAAGAAGCGCATAGCGCCCCCCCCCCTAGACAACACATCTCATCGAGCAATCTGTTCGCCATGAATAACTCTCGGTACGGACGGCGGGCCCCATCGGCCATGGATGCCAGCCTAAAAAAGGCCGAAACCGATAGCCTGCCGGGAATCCAGCTGAACGATCGACAGATGAAGCTTTACGCGGCACGAAAGGCCGGAAAAACCGGAGGAATCAAGGATCAGAACCACAAACTAGAGCCTCCTCCGGATAGGAATCCACCGAAAAAGTACTTCAGCAGCAGCAGCAGCAACCCACAAGAAAAAAAGACMATAACAGCAACACCATCGCCAATGCAGCAACCGTATCTAGGACGGGAACCCACCGGAACGGCCGACACCGTGCCCATGACATTTTCGGAGGATTCTGCCTCGAACGTCTCTTATTCGATTCGAAGCGCAAACAGCTTTTCTTCCCGAAACGAAAAGGCCAATTCCTTTTACGGGCAGCGGYTGGAACCCCATGAGCGCAAAAGGTACGACGATCTGGGCAACACCTGGAGGGATTCCCAATCGGAGGCATCGGCTGCATCTGCGGTATCGGCTGCTCTTTCCCGCGCCTCGAAGGCGTCTGCGGCTTCGGCAAAGACCAGCAAATCATCTTCTTCACTGGGCTCCATGGCCCGGTTACGCCAGCTCAATCTCCAGCGAAGCGGTCAAGGCGGCGGGAGCAGCAAAAGCAGTACCGCGGGGAGCACCTTTAGCACAAGTGGCAGCACCTATAGCGCAAGCAGGAGCAAAGCAAGCGCTTCCAATAGCGTCAAAATGAGCAGCGATTCCCGGTCGGTGGCCTCGGCGGTCTCGAAAGCTCCATCGGCAGCTTCGTCGTCCCTGAAAAAGAAGCTTCCGGTCGCAATGCCGGTGGCAACGGCGGTGAAGAAATCGAAAACRCCTCGGAAGAAAGAACAATCTGCCGCAGCAGAATCGTCCSTTTCGACGGAGAGTCGCCCGACTTTGACTCCAATTGACACAAAGTCTCAGCATTTGGAAGACCAATCAGGCCGCAAAGCATCTGGCCTAGGCACGCAGAAAGAGAAGAGCAAGTTCCTTCGGAAAACGATGATGCAATGGGCCAAGCCTTCGACGACCTCAACATCCTCTTCCCTCAAATCTACTACATCTAGTAGCAGTGGGAAATCCTCTTCTAGGAGGCTCTCATTCGCGCCAAAGAAATCCATCATTACAGAATACCGATCCCCCAAGTCTACGGCCAGCGGCAGTATTTCTCCGAAAGAAATGGCCATCATGCGAAAGGTGGCTGAACGGAACAAGAGCAAGGTCAAGTCCAATGCAATGTCACCGACCAAGAATTCCCGTCGAAAAGCAGGAAAGCTGATCAAGAAGCTGCTAAATTCCTCGTCTTCGTCACTAAACTCCTCCTCGCGCTCCTTTCAGGAGGACGAAGATGATGATCAGCGAAAAGAGAAGCAAYCAACTGTTGAAGCCATAACCACGATCAACACCCGCAAACTGTACGATGACAGTGGAAAGAGTGTGAACGAAGATTCTATGTCTCTCGTTACGGCCAATGAGACMCCTAAAGAGCCGGCAAAACTGGAAAGTCTTCGCTCTACTTCACACACAAGCAGCGGCAGCAGCACTCCGAAGCACGGCGAAGTCGATAGGAGGACACCCATTGTCATGGAGGAAGATATGGACGAAGGCGAAGGTGACGAAGAAACAATTGCAAGGAATCAGGCAATGCGAAAAAAGGCCAAGCGAGGAAGATCAAGCATTTTCAAAAGCCGTATAAATAACATCGGGATGGCAGTCATGGACGATTTGATCGAAGAGAATGCGGAACTTTCTTCCGATGAGGATGAGCAAGAGTACGAAAACGAGGAGGAAGTTGAGGAAATTGAAAATGMMAGTGACTACCAGGATCCGGCAGACGTGTCGCTACATCCGGCACGATCAATCAAATCCAACAAATACGAAGAAACCCCGCGAAACATCAATACGGTTTTGGAGGAAAACAAGGATTTCCTGAATGTCATGCGAGAAGGACCTTTGAAGCAGGCGAMATACATTCCGGGTCTGGATGATAGCAATCCTACGAAGAGCGAAAGCTACGACGAGGAGACCGAAGAATATAAGGCCTTTACGAAGACATTGAGAGCAGAATTATCTGGAACCCATGCAAAACTCTACGATAGTTTTCAGGCTATGTTCTGCTACGGYGAGAATGAAAACATGCCCGCAAGGCCTTTGTCAGTATATCCRGGATCCCTCGACTTGAAGACAAAGGAAGCAATATCCTCCATGAGCAAATATTTGAACACCGAGCATGACGTTGAATGTCTGTTGGGATCACAGATTGTCAAGGACAACGAWGTTCGAAATTTCACCTTTCGAYACCCACAGAAAACGCCACGCAATACATCGTCAGCCACTGGAGTCAGCGCCTGCGATAGCGAAGACGATTACGGGTCGATTCGTCAGGTCCCATCGACGGACAGCATTAATGCTGGTGCAGATGGTTCCGAATACGAAGTTACGCTAGGTCAGCAYCGCCGAAAGAGCGAATCAGTTGCCTCTTCCAACGATTCTAGATATCTTCCGTCGAGTGTCTCGAAAATGACTCTGAAACAAAGTGGCGGTGTCAAGTCCTCCTCCATTTTCAAGCTTCCAGCGGCTGCGGTAGGAGGCAGTGGAGGAACTCCATATAATAAAGTAAAGCTCAAATCTCGAAGCGTTCCTGATAAGAACAAAACCAACAATGTTACTGTCCCTTCGTCGTGGACCAAGGTTCGGTTGCGTCCAGTTGTGAAAACAGATCCCAAAGTTGAGGATTCTGCCAGCACCACGGATTCTTCCGAAGCGCCGGAATTCCATCGTATTGTTCTCCGAAAAACTCCTACGAATGCGGGCGGAACGAAGAAGACCTTTGATCTTGGCATCGCGACAGCTCCTTCTTCTCTCACAGATACATCTGGTACATCCAAGAAGCCYATAGATATCGAGCACGCGGGTGCGCCGGATCAACCAATCAAGTTGACGGAAAATCACACACCGGAAGAGAAGTTAACCCCGATGAGTGGTACGGAAGGAAAACCAATCGAGATCAAGGATAACCGCAAGGGAGGGGAAGACAATCCTATCAAGTTGGCGCCGTCCGTTGGTTATGAAGAAAACCCTATCAAATTAGTTCCATCRAAGGGCGAGGAATCCGYGAATCCCATTCAATTGGCACCCTCGATTGACCTAGACTTGAGCGAAGGCTCGATCATGATTGCTCTGGCGAAAGAAGCTGGAGTAGGGAGTGATGTGGATATCAACGTAATTATTGCAATGAATGGAATCACGAAGGTACAGTCAATCCCCGGCCAGGAGTCCACGAAGGCAAATGTTATTTGGAGGCTCGATCGTAGTGAAGTCAAATCTGCTCTCCTTGACATGTCCACTTTTCATGTTAAGATAATTGTATCTTCCGAAAACGACAAGAACCATAAGGATCTCCAATTTCCCACWTCTGCACAATGTATGCGGTTCGCAAATGCTCTTCATGAGATGAGGAACAACAGTTCYGATGACACCTCCACTGACATCAAAGACAAAAAGGCGACTGTTGSTAWCGATGACGCATCTATTTATGTAGAACAATTGAGCAACGACGAACAAAAGGTATTAGACGAATTTAGGCAGCGAAAGAAGATGAAGCCGGAACCTATTTCGGAATTGAATGAGAAGGATTTCGCCAAAGAAATGCTGTCGAAGAAACTCACCTCGATAAGTRATTGTGACGGTTCAAAGCCAATGAGTGTCGTAGGTGGCGCGACTCCTTCTAGTCCTGTCTCTGAGGTKTCGACGGCCACTTCTGCATTAGCTTTGGATAAGKCGAAAACAGTAATGAAATACCAATTGATGTTGAAGACAAAGGTTCCCAAGGAGGCCGTGAAACATAAGATGGAGCAAGATGGTGTAGATGCTGCTATMATTGCCCAAGTCCTCGGAGAAGAGGCACCGAAGCCATCTGTTGTTTCTGCACCTTCGGGCAATACCAATCTCTCACCCGAAGACGAAAAAACTGCTTCTACTTACAGAAAGATGCTCAAGATGGGAATACCGCCTGAGGCTGTCGCACACAAAATGAAGAAGGATGGTGTAAACCAGAAGATAGTGTCGTCTGTTATTGATGATTCTAATAGCAACGACAAAACAAAAACACCGGCTGTAGCATCAGGTCCTACRTTGACCGTTCCCGAGCAAGCGGCAGCGCAGAAATATCAAAAGATGTTGAAGATGTGTATTCCGAAAGAAGCAGTGGAACACAAAATGAAGAAGGATGGTGTCGACGCAAAGATTGTAGCATTTGTACTCGGTCTACCTCAGAAAGCCCCGGGTAGTGCATCAATACCTTCAAAGATTAAGAACTCATCATCGTCATTGACCAGTGACGAAGAATCTACTGCTTCTATGTATAGAAAGATGCTAAAGATGAATATTCCGAAGGAAGCAGTTCGCCAAAAGATGACGATGAACGGTATCTCGGACAAGATTGTCGCCGCAGTCCTTGGTGACAATAAGAATGCAGCAAAGAATCAAATAAAAAAAGGCTTCAACAAGAATGGGTTTCACTGGAATCCCATCGACGACGACGTTTCCATTGCAGGAAGTGTATGGTCAAAAGCTGGATCCTCGGTCGCAGCACTGGAAATAATTTCGAAACACGTCGAAGAATTCCAGAAGAAGGTAGATAGCACAAAAGCACCGAAGAAGAACACTGGAGGAAAAGGGAAGAAAGAGATGGCAAAGTTGGTCAAGTTAGAACGCGCTCAAAATGTTGCTATCACTCTCAAGGCGTTCAAAGACTGCGAAGAGAACGGTTCGTACAAAGAGCTTTCCCAGATCATCGAGTTCCTCGATCCATTCTGCAAGATCAAGGGAGATCGTGCCCTTTTTATGAAAGACTTACTACCAAAGTCTGACGAAGTAAAAGCAATCAAGGCATACACAGGAGGCAACGAATTTCTAGTTCSAGCAGAATTGTGGTTTCAACAAATTGTCCATATCAAAAGAATCGAACAAAAAGTCMAAGTCATRCGAACTATGGAAACGTTTAAGATGGACGCAATTGTTCTGGGCAAGAGTTTCCAGTTGCTCACGGATGTCTGTAATCAAGTTATGGACAGCGATCGCCTTCCCGACCTCCTCGATATGGTTCGTCAAATTGGAAATCGCATGAACAAAGGTCGTGGAGACGATGCCGCAGGATTCAAGYTAGATTTCTTACCGAGACTCGCACAAACGAAAGGAAGTGATAGGAAGACTACCGYGTTGGACCTMGTCGTACTCATTTTTTGCACCAGAAACCAACGAGAGGCCTTGCTCCTATCCGACGATTTTCCCAATATTCAAGAAGCTAGCAGAATTGACTTCCAAGATTTGTCAACAGATGTAAAGAAGCTGGAATTATCAGTGAGCAAGTGCAAACAGGAATTTGACAATCTCAAAAAAGAGCACGAGTCTTCTCTCGAGGGTAAGGCTCCCGAGGGCAAGGTCAATACTCTCAATGAGACAAGGAGCGAATCTGCTTTGGGTGGAGGTGCGTCCTTTCTCGATGAGATAAAATCACGCAGAGGATCTGCCAATCAATGTACTACACCAAAGAGTGATCATGTAGGAGGATTGAGCTTGATGGAGGAAATCAGAGCTCGCAACGGATCACCGAGGGGAACTCGCTCACCTACCGTTAGCGAGGTTCATAGTGCTATTCATAAATCGAATGAAAAAGTGAGGAAGTCCTTGTCACCTAGAGCAAGTCTTTTGGCTTCATTTTCAGAAAAAAGCTCTGGGAAGGAGTACTCAATAGACGCATCTATAAGAAGGTTGGAAAAATTTGTTGGCGAGGCTAATTATGTCATTTTGCCCAAACTAGAATCGGATCGCGCCGCTGCTGTTGAGGCATGCAAGGATCTTGCATCTTTCTTCTGCGAGAAGGGTGGCGAACGCGAAACGAGTAAACTGTTGGAAATTCTTGCAGGTTTTGCTGCAAATATCGATCACTCCGTMAGGAAGTATGACGAGCAACAGAGGATTTTGGCCCGAAAGGAGGCAACGTTGAAGAAGAAAAAGAAGAAAAATGCAGTTTCATCTGCAAAGTCAATTGTGTCTAAGCTATCGAAGAAGAAAGATAAAACCACTATCGCTAAGGATCAGCCCGATCTGTCAACAAAACTGTCTCCTCCAGTTCCAGTTGAAGAGGGAGAGAAGAAATCAATTGTCTTGATGGTGAACGAAATGTTGAAGGTTGCCGGAGACAAGGAAATTGATGATTTTGTGTCGGGCAAAAAGTCGTCGAATCCAGATAGTCGACTCCAACAGATTTACGAAGCAGAGGAGGCGAGAACAAAATCCGATCGCGGGGATATCCTGAGCGCTATTCAGAAGCGTCGCTCAATGAGTATTACTCCAGTCCCCGATCAGGCCTTGTCAGATCTTCGTGCCACGCTTTCTGTAGATACCAGGGACGATTCAGAATCTGGCGTTGGGAGAGGGAAAAAGAAGAGTCGCGTCGCACAGAGATGGACAAGTAAARGGGATCCCCCTATCAAACCACCGTTGGATCCAACCGGATCCAAGCTTGCCAAGTCTTTTTCGAAGGACACAGATGACATGTCATCAGCTAAGGAATGTAMAGATCGAAGTAAAAGTAGAATCGTGAGCAGATGGAGCAGTAAACCTCAACCTGAAATTTCTGAGGAGAGGGCAGATTCGGAGATCGATTTTCAAATTCAGGAAAAACGCCGTCAGTCGGTTGTCAATCGATGGGCCTCGAAATCACCTGTTTCGGAAGCTACGACTAGAGATCTTGATGAGGAATCGGACATTGGTGCTTTTCAGGAAATGATCAATGCGAGAAGGCAAAAGGCTCTGAATCGGTGGTCGAGCAAGAAGACATAATATGAGGCAAATGCGTGTAAATGATAGATCATTGTAAATTAAGATAATGCGATCGACAGAAGAAATGCATCGAAGCACTAACGCTTTATTTCGTACTTATTTTGAGGGTGTACCTTTGATTTGTTCCAAAACGAAGTCATGYCTCGAAATAGCGATGGCAGTATTGATTTAGATGTTTTCTTCGTTTATTYCAYATCTGTTGTTCGTTTGTTCTCCATCTGTGTTCGCCCTACGAATRGCCCGAGTTTCTATCACTCCACGAAAAAGTCAAATRCATACGGTACCACTAATTGGTTCAACCTTCATAGATCGTTCTACTCCTTTTAGGATAAAATTCGATGATTGTTGTCCTTTACTAGAATTTTTTCGTAGTAAGGAATATAATACCCTAATGTCATCAGAAAAATCTATTACCTCCACTGAAAAGTTTGATACTACTGTACTATGACAACAAAGTGACCATACTTGCATGCTTTGAGTGAAGGATGCAATGATCCATCAATCGCTCCAAACTTTTACCAAGGACCCACTCCTTTGGTTGATATGTCATGCCCCATTGYTAATGGTAGATTCTTTTGCAAATCCTTTTCTTTTGATCATACTCCTGATACACTGCTCTTGCTTTCAAAACAAAATGAAGAACTATGCATACTAGTACTAGTAGAGACCACCCCCTTCTAGCAACACCAGTGTGCTATGAGCAAAACAAAATAAAAAGCAAAATTCCCACTGTACATAGAAAGAGAAACAAAGAAGAGAATATTGCTTCTCCTTGTTTCTCTTTGATTTTTCAATTTTTTACAAAGAGAAACAAAGATAATATTGTCTGGGCAATTTTCTCTTTCTTTTTGTTTCTCTTTCTTGTTGTTGTTTAAACATGGAAAAAACCTATGGAAAACCCCRATCTTGGTTGGTGGTGGTGACTGTCTTCTTCAAAAACTATCAGGGGATACTGCATGTATCATTGCATACTAGTAAGATACGAACATACTCATTGTATTTGCCCTGGTAAAAATCTGTTTTGTGATACTTTGGGGGATACTGCATGTATCATTGCACAGTAAGACACCAACATACTCATAGTACTTTCATGCAGTAAGAAACTTCCAAAAGATGCGGTGGGCTTCCCCGAAAAACAAAACCCTCYGAGGCAATCACGGGAAGCACGAAAGAATGATTTGGATGCTTCCTGGCGCATCACGACCATTTCGATTCTCATTGGCTCATTTCCGTTCGTGCGATGGATCAGGGGCCCAATCACAGCAAGTTCGCATTCGCATCGACAGACGCTTCATTCTTTTCTTGTCATCAAACCCCACAAGAAGAATTTTGATGGGTGTGGGAACCGAACAGAGCACCAGAAAAATCCATGGGATCGGCAAAATGACAGCACAGCAAAATAATAATAGTGAATAGTGAAAGACAGCGGCACATCGCAACGAAGCGCATCATCAGCATCAATCAAACTTCCCATAATTACGACGCACTAAATCACATCACATCACATTAAATCACATCACATAAAAATAAAACAATCGAAGCAAACCACAATATACCACACCACACACACATCACCACACCAAGAATTATCAGCGCACATTCTTCCCCGTTTGACGTCCAGCAGGGAACGCATTCCCAACGCTGGTCACACTCCATTTGATCCGCAACAGCCGTTCGTTCCATCCGAGAACAAAAGGATACGCCGAGGGCATCCAATCGCAGAAGAACATTCCCGTGAAACAGGACGGACAATCGAATCAAAAACACCGATTGTGAACCGAAGCGGAAACAACTTCCTCGCTTTGTGCCAATCGCGCTGTGACCAAACTCCAAACGGTAGAAGACCCAGGCGGCACGATAGGACATGGAAATGGACACGAACGCGAACAGAAACACCGGCATCCATCGGAGCATGCTGCCTCTCTTTTATTCGTGCTTGGCAGCCGGGTTCTTCGTCTCCAAGGGCCTCGGCTTTTCCTTTCCACCATCGATTCCGGCAAATAGGCCTGGCGCACGGGCTCTGCACCGACGAGGAGGGGGCYGCTCGGCGGCTTTGCTTCCGYTCCTCCCACCCCAGGCAGCCACCGGGGCGGGGCAGAGCCGGACGGCACTCTCGATGGTCGCAAACGCCACCGTTGCCGCCGATCCATCCGCTAGGGGTCCGGATYCCCCAGCCAAGACGAAACCCCTCTCGAAGAACCAAGAGGCCCTCTCCAGGCGCTACTTTCCCCGGACCTGGGTCCCCCTGGCGTCCGCCTACGAGCTCGATCCGGACCGGCCGACCCCGCTCGAGTTTCTCGACCAGAAGTACGTTTGCTACCACGATCCATCCACCGAATCGGGATGGGTGGTAGTCGACGACGCGTGCCCCCACCGGTTGGCGCCGCTCTCGGAGGGACGGATCAACCGCTCGTCTGGTGGGAAGGAACCGGGCCAGCGGGAAAGGACCACCCTCATGTGCTCGTACCACGGATGGGAATTCGACGGGGGCAACGGCGGGGCCTGCACCGCGATTCCCCAGGCGACCCCGGAGGTCCGGTCCCGGGCGTGCAATTCGCCCCGGGCCGCGGTTGCCACCTACAGTGTCCGCGTCCACAAGAACGTCGTCTGGGCCTGGCTCTGGCCCGAGGACCCCCTGAGCATCCTCCAGGACTTTCCGCGGGGCCACCCGGAGGGGATCGCCGAGGGAATCACGGGGGGCGGGGAGTACCCCAGCACTTACACCCGGGACCTGCCGTACGGGTGGGACACGCTGCTGGAAAACCTCATCGACCCGGCCCACATCCCCTTTGCCCACCACGGGCTGCAGGGGAAGCGGGAGGACGCCATTCCGATCGACATGACGGTTCCGGAATCCTTTTGCGGCGACGACGACGGATCGGAGGGCTTTTTGTTCGAGTGGCAGGACCGGACGAGTAAGTCGTTGTTTGTTCGTTTCGTTTCGTTTCGTCGGTCGTGTGTTGCGTTGTGTTGCGTTGCGTTGTGAAATGTTGGGGTTTGTTTTGTGTACATCGATTGCGAATTGAGCCGAGCCGAGATTCGATCGGATAGAAAAATTGTTGAAACCAGACACTCACTCGTTCATTCAATGATTCAATGCCGGTCCTTCGTTTTGGTTTTCGGTTTTGCTCCAACTCTTTCTTTTTTGCTAATGTTGTGGTGGTGATTGATTGSTTCAAACGAATCGAATCTGGTTTGGTGCTTCCACTGTTACTGCTTGCCAATCGATCGATCTTTGGCCCGTTTGTTGCAGTGAAAAAACACCGTGGGGGAACTGGAGAGTTCAAGGCTCCATTTGGAGTTGCCTACAACGGAATATTCTACGCCACCAAGGAGGAAGCGGACGAGGCTAGCGGGACCCACATTGCGTCCAAGCGGCGAAAGCAGCAGCAGCAACTGGCCGGGGGCGACGTTCCTGGCGAAAGCGAAAACAATGAGGACGAGGACGACGACGACGAAGAAGGCAACCTGGGCCTCTTTCGGCTGGGGGTCATTTGCATCCCCACCAAGCCCGGKTGGTCCCGGGCGATCATCTTTGCAGGGGGAATCCAAGAGCCCAAAAAAGATGATACTGAGGAGGAGGAGAAAGCGTCCACCGGGGCAGAAGCTGCGCCAAAGAAGAAACCGAAAAAGAAGTCTCTCGTGGCCAAGATCTTTGGGATTCTCCCCAAGTGGCTCGTCCACCTGCTGAGCAACCGGTTCCTGGACTCGGACCTGGCGTTTTTGCACTACCAGGAACAGGAGCGGCGCCGGTACACGGACTYGAACCCGGGCGCCAGCGCCAACGAGTACTACTACATGCCGGCCCAGGCGGACCGGTGCATCTCGGCCCTCCGCCGGTGGATCCCGAGGCACACGGACTACCTGGGGGGCGACGGGGTCACCAGCAACCATTCGTACCAACTGCCACCCCCCATCGACTCACGGGCCGTCCTCTTTGACCGCTACAAGCAGCACACGAGCCACTGCAAGCACTGCCAGGAGGGCCTCGAGTGGCTGACCACCACCGTCCGGAAAACCGCCTCKCTGGTTCTGGTGGGGTCGGTCCTGGCCGGCCACTGCTTTCGCCTGTTTGCCGGCTTCAAGCTCCTGGCCAAGCTGGTGGCGCTGRCATCCCTGGGGGTCCTCGGGCTCGTTTCCAGGATCGAGCCCGCCTTTCGGGTGGGCGAATTCAAGCACTACCAGAACGACTGAGGAAGGCAGAGGAACCGCACGGACGAAATGGGGGGAGACGAGGCCGGACGAGACGAGATCACACCGCACCATGCTAGACCATTCGACCCCGCTCCACTCCATTCCATTCCAATCCAATCCAATCCAATCCACTCTACATCGCACCTGCCATCGGATGGGCCACCGCGAGCCGATTCCGAGAGAGACTGTATATCTACTACCTGCACATACAACGACCTATGCAATATAAACACATACCAGTACCTACATACATACAAACATACACTCCTGCCTCTACTAGTGTTCCGCTCCATTCGTTTTATTACAGTACCGATGCGTTTGTCCGTCCCATTCCGGCGCTACCGCAACCGGACCAGTTCGTCTTCCGCAAAGTAATAATAAAAACAATCCTCACCAAACGGGTCGACGGGAGCAGAAGCGGTGGTGGCACCGGGGAGGGTTTCGTTCTCGTTCTCGGTTTTGTTCTCTTTCGTGATCCCACACGAGACTTCTCTGCTTTGTGGGCCGTCCAGGGCCACCCGGACGGCCATGTCCGTGTCGACCTGCTCGGCGCAGCAACAGGTCGGATCGACGTCGCATTTTTCCCAGGTCTCGACCACCGTTCCGGTCCGTCCCCTGAGGTTTTGTCGGACTTTTGTGGTGGGTGGCGGCGCGGGGTTGTCGTTGTYGTTGTTGTTGCTGCTKGTAGCGATTGACGTCGTGGTCGTTGCGTAGACRTCCTCCACCACGCGGACCCTGTCCCCCACAGAGAACCAATAGCTCGAGGAYCGATCCCTCATGGTTGGAGTTGTTGGCGATTGTTCGSCCAGGGATTGTTTTCGCAGCCGCMATTGTACCTGCATCCTCTCGAGTGTCCTCGCTCGATGGCTGCCGAGGCGGTACAAACCAGAGCGGTGGCCGAAAGAAGCGCGAAAGKAATGCGTCGAAGACGAACCCAAACAAAGGGCCCCTGCCAAAAAGAGACCATCCGGGAGCAGCAACAGCAGAAACGGCAAAAGAAGCATCGCCACAGCGTGCTTTCGTCCGAGCGAGTTCCCGGGTGTCGACCAGCGAGTTCCTTGGCGGCCTTTGGTGGCAATGCTCGTCGTCATTGCCTGGATGGTGGGAAGGGTGGCGTTTGTTCTTTGTGTTCAACAGCGCGGATGCAAGTCAATGGAATGGAAGGTTGTTTGGCTCTTGTTCGCTGGCTATCACAAACGAAACAAACGGAATCCATCGGTCCTGCGCCGCGGTCCTTGCTGTATTGGGTTCCTTCCTATTCGAGGATTACAGTATACCGTACCATACTGTATGCCTTCCGTGCAGAACGATGGTCTGCACTCCTTGCACATGTGCTTCTTGCACAAGTGGTACGGTAGGTACGAGGACGTGGAGTACGTGTGAGTGACGAGAATTTGGATTTTAGATTTTTTGATGCGCACGGACAAACGAGTTCATAAAAAGTTGATTTCTATTGGGTCGAGGTATATAAACAGCAAATAAYACCWTGRTGCCTATCTGATGACACCGTGGCCGAGCGGTTAAGGCGATCGACTAGAAATCGATTGGGTTTATCCCGCGTAGGTTCGAGTCCTGCCGGTGTCGCTTTTGGTTTTGCCTGGTCTGGATACTATCTCTTTTTCCAGAATTATTGACACACCACAACTTCTAGTACTAGTAGCTATGTTCATTCATCTTGTGATTGTAGCTACTAGTACTTCCACTACGAAAAGTAAAACTAGCAGTACAAGTACTAGTAGATCTAGTGGTGCTTTTCCTGGCACAGCAAGGAACTCCTTCGTCTTCCTTCTTGTTCCTGTCGAGGGAGCGGCGCCACCAGGATTCGATTTGGAAGAGAATCATCTATTTCTTGTCATCTCTAGACYTGCCGAAAAACCAGAGAAAGCGCAGTACGAACTTTCTTTGGTACATCCTTGTCGATAGTAAGACTAGCTACAAAAACTACTACTCGTGCTTGTCTAGCTTTTCGCGAGACGCAATGCGTACCGAATGCAGAATGGCGAAAGAGCACCTACACGAAAACATGGCTCAAGTTCCAGAGATTTATTAATCGCGATTCGTTCCAAATTACTGCTGGTTCCAATAAAAGGCCGAAGTGCAAGCAATTCGATTGGCTTCTTCCGATTTATTTCATTCCAAGGCTAGTTCTAGGGCGACTGCCCGTATGTTGGCACGGACAAAATAACGTCGCTCTCTGCATAAAAATAGGTTACCCTCCCAGCCTACGAGTTCCTTCGATTCGATTCGATTCGATTCGATTCGATTCGATTCGATTCATCCCCAAAAAGTCGCGGCTTCGCCGTTTCGATTCCACTTGGACTCCACTCCTTTGGTTGCACCCCACTCGTCGCTGCCACCTCACCTCACCTCACCGCGACGACGACACCGTCGAAAAGGTCGCCCGGAAGGTCTCCAGGAGCTTCCGGACCCACCGGGCCTGCAGGGCGGCCACCTTGCTGCCAAAGGCGTTCGTGTTCCTCCAGATGGACTCCTTCAGGTCGTAAAAAAGGTCGTCCTCCTCGTAGATCAGGTCCAGCCACGCGTCCGCCAGGTGGTTGATCCTCGAGAGGGCGGCCTGCATCTTCCAGAAGCACTCCAGGGCGACCTGGGTCACCCTGCGACCGAGGCGGTAGCAGCCAAAGGGACTGGACGTCGAATATGTGCAGCGCTTGTAGGTGATGGAGGTCCCGGAGGAGTACAGGTGGCCGTATTCCTGGTTGGCGTCGATGCGGCCGTGCCACAGATCCTCGGCGGCAACGAAAGCCCGGAGGACCAGGTCCCTCGGAGAATGGTGGTGGTGGCTTCCGCGTCCTCGTCCACTGCGGTCCAGGCCCAGAAACGAAAAGGTAGACGAGAAGAACTGCTTCTGCAGGTGCGGGTGGTGCTTCTTCTGGTGCTGCTCCTCCAGGGRGACGTTCCACACCGAGTACACGGTCAGAGCCCCGTCGTTGTCCAGCTGCGCCAGGTAGGACCGCTGCCGCTTGTGCCAAAAGCCGAATTCGTCCTCGTACTCGTAGTACCCGTGCCTCGAGTCGTGGTCGTCGCTCCGGGCGTCGCTGTGCCAGAGGATCCGGTTGGTGTTGCCGTTGCTGCTGCCGCTCGCGTCGTGGGGGTGCTTTCCGACCGTAACCACCAGGTGGGAACCCTTGAGRACCGCAAAGCAGTGGTCCGCCGCGTAGCCGTTGGTTCCGTACGGCCGCTGGGTGCTCCACAATATCTTTTCCCGTTCGCCCCGGCCGGATCGACCGTCCCTCGCAAGGTGGTGGTCGTTGAGGACGACCAGTAGCTCGCAGTCCTGCGATAGGCCCGCCACGTACTTCTGGTTGGGGGAGACCATCGGCTCGGAAGACGGGGTGAGGACCTGCCAGGGGTGCAGGATCGACGATTCGATGTTCGAGCGCTTCGACGACGCACCCCCCGGGTCTCTTCCGCTGCCGCTGCCCCGATGGTGCGGGCTTGCGCTCTCGGTCCGGTATCCGTCTTCCTGCAGGTAGGGTTCCGTGATCGGAACGTACACCGCCCTGGCCGCGAAGGGATCGTAGCGCTCCTTAAAGTCCTGCGCGACGATCCTATAGTAAAACGAGGAACCGGAAGGACCGTTACCACCGGAGCCGGGGCTGGTCCCGGTGTCGTGGTGCGGCGAGGAAYGGTTCTGCCGGTAGGACCGGGACGACGCGGTGGTTTCGCCTTGCGGTGCAAACTCCTCCGTTTGGAGGACGCGAACGACGTTTTCCCCCGTGGAGGGATCGTACATGGTGTGCTGGTCGCTAAACACACGCACCGGGTCTTCTTCTTCTTCCGGATGGTATTGGTGTTCGTATCCCCCGTGGTGGCGGTTCCTGCCCAGGTTGCTCTTCGTGTAGCGCAGGTGCGAAAAGGGATCGTTCGGATCAAAGTAGCCCCTGTCGGTGTTTTCCTCGTCGTCTTTTTCCCCAAAAAAGAACTCCTCGAATATCGAAAAGGGATCCCTTGTTGCGACAAACTCAAAGAGACCCCCGAATCGTTTCTTGAGAATGGTCGCGAGCAGTCCCACCTCTTGTGCCTCGTGGTCCTTCACGAGCTGCGTGTTCTGGCAGTACTCGAGAAATAGGTCGTAGTCCTTCCGCTTGTTCTCGTCCGTGAGGAATTCGTAGGCCTCCGCGATCTTGGCAAAGCGAGCGTTGCTTTCCTCCACCGAGATGGATTCCGAGCTGGTGCCGCCGCCGCCGCTGCTGGACGACAAAGCATTTTTCTTCTTGGCAGCCTGCTTGTCGGGGTGAAATTTCTGGGCTTGCTTTCGATAAGCCTTTCGGATTTCCTTGTTGCTAACRCCCTCGAGAGCACTGTTTTTGCTGCCTGTCCCTTCCCCTCCCTCTTCGCCGCCAGTCTTTTTTCGCTTCTTCTTTTTCTTCTTGTCGCCGATACTGCTTCCGTCCGCCGCCAGGCCCAGAATCTCGTAGTAGTTGAGGCGTTCCCAGTCGTAYCTGGTTGCTTCGGGCGGCCGGCACTGGGGAGGATTGTGGTGGGCCGCATTTCCATTGGCGTTGCCATTGCCATGGGCATTCTCGTTGTCCCGCTGTCCCAGCGCCAGGTTTTGGGTGTGGCTCGCGTGCACAACGAGAAGGAGGGAGAAGCACCAGGCGGTTGCCAGCGGGCGTTTTCGCCGCCGCGGTCGTGGATCCTCCCTTCCGAGGACGGCGCTCTTCGTCTTGTTGGGATTCCTTCGCAGGTACATCCCCCCGTGGGACGGGGATCGCCAAGGCCAATGGGTTTTGCTYGGCATCGGGAGGTGTGCCGCGTGTTGCGTGTTTCGTGTTTYGATCCGTGTCGATTCGTGCAAGTCGATCACGCCCRTCGTTGAGCGATGGTGTACAGTGCGTACGAGCTACCGGTACTCGTACTTCTTGCAACGAACTTCTGTTTCGTGTGTAGTCGGTAAGTATTGTTCGAGTTTGGCTTCCTTTGTCTCGTTGCTTGCGGCACTAGTCAAGACTTTCACGGGGTAATCTATCTCTTGGAAGAATTGTAAGAACCATATGCCATTCCAAGAAGAGACAAGACGGAAGACGGGACACGGGACACGGTTCTGACAACACACCGGTTGTAGTCGATATTTTTTATGGCACCGTAATAATGATTGCTGTGCAATTCTTTCGAATACCCATAGTGGGAGTATGAGTATGAGTACGAGTACGAGTACGAGTACGAGTACTCTACCATGTACTCGTACGTACTCGTGCTCGTCCTCACGAAACCACCGTGTACGTAACCGTAACACCAGAAACTGTACACAAACATTGTTCCCGCCTAGTACGGTACTCGTACTCGTACTCGTACTCGTACTCGTACTCGTACAGAAACAATGGTTTTCAGTTCACATTCAAAGACACGACAAAAAACGGTATGTACCGGTATGCAGATTCCATCATTCCTTGTCTGATGGCGTGCGCATCGAATCAAGTTCCAGAACGGTGCGTACGTGGGTACTCGTACCAGGTACCAGTACCAAGTACTGCTTTAAAGCATCAAATCGATTTTATTCCTCTCTTCTTCTGTTCCATTTGTTCCACATCCAGTGAGTGAAGCGAACCGTCATCTGAAGATTCAATTAATGTACTAGTACTTATTTGTACGCACTAGTAGAATCTTGATTCGTACGGCAGTATGATGATTCAGGATTTTGGTTGGATCCGTCGTCATCGCAGGAATTTCGTGGATCTTCTTGATTGATTGATTGTACATATTTGTGCCGTACTTCTACTATCTTCTCCTTTGGGGTATGTTTCGAACAACAGATGGCAAAAGACAAAAGACCACATGGGAAARCTGTCTTTCACAACCGTCACGTGGAAATCCCGCCCCCGAAGCTGAACCGAAATCCAAAACAAAGTCGCACGATTGCGTATCTAATCTAACATAGGTACTCGTACTATATACTATGCATACGGTAACACCCTGGAGCACGAACCTCAATTCAAAAGCCGAACGCCAAACACCCACGTTTGGATTGTTTCTATGCCGTTCGTGCGTCGTACGAACTTTACCGTCTCAAATGACATCCCCCTCCATGCCATTCATTTTTGATATCACCACCACCCAGTTCACCGAAAACGAAAACCACCATACGGTAGGAGTACCGTACGTACTCATACCGGTACGAGGACAAATACAGCCGGAAAACCCGAGCTGATGGCATGCATGTTCTGCGGAGCTGGGAACAAATGGGGCCCAGAACTCCTTTACATACGTACCATACTCGTAGAAATTTTCAAGGGCATCATACTTTTTGAACTTCGATCCACCCATCTCACACTCTCACAATCGCACAAAGTGAATTACGAATTACGAATTACGAATTGCTGTACGAATTACACATACCTCCGCAGGTACAATACGATCGCAACAACCACTAACATCCAGCAAGATGAGGAAGAAGAATTAGACATACAACACCCGCAACGAATTAGTACACCGCAGTACAGTACAATCCAGAATACAATACAATACGCACACACAACACCATGAAATTCAACTACAAGCTCCAGCGCCTGTGCGGAGCCTACTACGGGAACCCCACGGTCACCGACTCCCACGGCACCCGTGGGGGAGCGGGAAATTCTTCCAACATTTGCTATACGAGCGACGGGAACACCCTGATCAGCCCGACGTCCAACCGGATCCAGGTCATCGATCTGAAAACGCACACGGTTCGGACGCTTCCCCTCGAGGCACGGAGCAACGTCAGGTGCATCGCCCTGAGCCCCAACGATGCGGTGTTGCTGGTAGTCGACACCAAGAACTACGCCATGGTGGTCAACCTGGTAAGGGGGGTGGTTCTCCACCGCTTTCGCTTCCAGCGCAAGGTCTTGGATGCGAGGTTCAGCCCGTGTGGGACCTACCTCGCCGTCACACACGGCAAGCACGTCCGGGTCTGGCTGGCCCCGAACCACCTGCGCAAGGAGTTTGCTCCGCTGATCCTCCACCGAACCTACACCGGCCAGTCCCAGGACGCGACGCATCTCTGCTGGTCGGAGGACTCGTCCGTGCTGCTGGCTGCCTCGAAGGACTGCACCGTGCGGATCTGGACGCTCCACACGACGAGGAGGTACCAGCCGACCACTCTCAGCGGCCACAAGACGCCGGTCGTCGGGGCCTATTTCGACTACCGAGAGGACGCAGGCAGYGGCAACCGAGTCATCGACAAGATCTACACGCTGTCCCAGGACGGAGCCCTGGTGGCGTGGAAGTGCGATCCTCCGCCCAATAATGACGACGAAGACGAAGACGACGCGGTGGTGGAGGAGATCGATCTGCCGCCGGGGAACGACGAGGACTTTGAGGCCCGCGTCGACGACGCCATTGATTTCTTTTCCGGCGGAGCGGCCGGGGGRCCAGCTTCCAAAGCCACCCGATCGAAATCGACGGCTCCCTTTTCGAAATCCGATCAGGCCCACGCGCTCGTCGGCTGCACCTGGCGGTACGGGTCTCGCCACTATTTCCAACAGGACGGGGCCAGCCTCGTGGCCTGCGCCTACAACGACCGGACCAAGCTGCTGGCGGTCGGTTTTTCCTCGGGGATTTTCGGCATCTACGAGATGCCCTCGGTCGCCAACGTCCACACGCTCTCGGTCGGATCCAACCAGATCATCAAGACGTGCGTCCTCAACCAAACCGGCGAGTGGCTGGCCCTCGGATGCCCGAAATCACAGCAGCTCCTGGTGTGGGAGTGGCGGTCCGAGACCTACGTGCTCAAGCAGCGGGGCCACGCCTACGGGGCCCGCTGCATGGCCTACTCCCCGGACGGCGTCGTCGTCTGCACCGGTGGAGAGGACGGCAAGCTCAAGCTCTGGAATGCGTCCAGCGGTTTTTGCTACGCGACGCTCGGGGAGGGTCACACGGCYCCCGTCGGGTCCGTCGCCTTTGCAAATTCCAGCGTCGTTCTCAGCGCCGGGCTCGACGGGACCGTCAAGGCCCACGACCTGCACCGGTACCGGACCTTCAAGACRCTGACGACGCCGACGCCCTGCCAGTTTTTGTCCCTGGCGGTCGATCCGGCSGGGGAGATCGTGGTGGCCGGGGCAATGGATCCGTTCCACGTCTACGCCTGGAACCTGAGGAACGGGCGGCTCCTGGACGTCTACACCGGGCACACCGGACCGGTTGCCCAGCTGGCCTTTTCGGGGGGAGGGGGACTCCTGGCGAGCGCCTCGTGGGACGGKACCGTCAAGCTCTGGGACATGTACAAGGCGAACGTGGCGACGGAATCCCTCTCCCACAATTCGGACGTCGTYTGCGTTGCCTGCCGGCCGGACGGGAAGGAACTGGTCAGCGGAACCATCCGCGGCCTCCTCTCCTTCTGGGACACGGAGACGGGGAAACTCAAGCACGAGCTGGACGGGAGGAGGGACATTGCGGGGGGCCGCAAGGAAAACGACCGCATGGCTTCCGACAACAACGCGAGCGGAAGATACTTTACGAGCGTCTGCTACTCGGCCGATGGGTCGTGCGTCCTGGCCGGGGGAAACTCCAAGTACGTGTGCATCTACGAGGCGCAGCAGCGGATCCTGCTGAAAAAATTTCAGGTCACCTTCAACCGGAACCTGGACGGTGTCCTGGACGAGGTAGGTACCGGCACGCAAGAAGAACGCGATGAACATTCGAATTGGATTGGATTGGATTGGATTGGATTGTGCCCTATTGGGTTCTATGGTGCCGGATTGCATTGCCGCCCGTGATTTCTTTGATGGCACGCGAGCGCGATGATCGATGTATTCCCATAAACGTTTCGCAGAACTAGCTGACCGAGGCGTGAGACCCTCGGCTCGTGGAGCCAAATTTAACTTCCTTGGATGTCTGAGCGCGAAACTATTATTTCAAGGCGTGTGTCGTCATTGGGTCTTTMGACGGTAGCAGCAAGTGCCATGATGCTAATGCAACTGCAAATCCATTCAACCATGCAACTCCATTGGAATTCGAATTCGGTTCGTTCCGCTTCGTTTCAATGACACTTCTCGCGATGTTTCACAATGCTGTCTCCCGATTGGTCCCCCTGCTCACAGCTCTGTCTTTTTTTTGTACCTGTTTGTTGCTTGAAATCCGCTCCAGCTGAGCTCCAAAAACATGACCGACTTTGGCCCCGTCGACGAGCACGCCGGCGACTCGGAGGACGAGACCACCTACAACGCCCTCCGGCTCCCGGGTGCTAAGCGGGGTGATGACGGATCGAGATCTTCCAAGGTCGAGGTCCTGACCAGGCAGGTCTCCTTCTCGTCGACAGGCCGCGAATGGGCCGCCGTCTCCGGGGAGGGCCTCCACGTCTACTCGCTCGACGGGGACATGGTTTTCGACCCAATATCTCTGGAAGAGGCAATCACCCCCTCTGCGGTGAAGGAGAACCTCTCCCTCAAGAACTACTCGCTGGCTCTGACAATGGCCCTCCACCTGAACGAGGACGCCCTCCTGGAGCAGGCCCTGGAGGAGATCCCGCACGCGTCCATCGGGAGCGTCGTCCGGACGATCGGGCCGGAGCACCTCGAGCGGCTGCTGGCCGCCATCGGAACGGCCATGGAGTCCTCCCCGCACGTACAGTACTACCTCTCGTGGTGCCTCGAGATGCTCCGGACCCATGGGGTTCACATGGACAGGCACCGGTCGTCCTTTATGAGGGCCTTTCGGTCCGTCCACAAAGCGGTGCAGACCAAGCACGACGAGCTCAAGACGATCTGCAACCAGAACCGTTACGCACTCGAGTTCATAGAGAGCCAGGCATCCCTGACAACGGCCGCCACTGCAGCAGCGTTGGCGGTGGGTAAGGACTAGTGCAAACGACGCTTCCGAGAACGAGAAGCAGTGAACAAAGAAAAGMAATGCAACCACCAGAAGAAACCCTGGTTGGCTTTGGTTGTTCCATCAGCTAGTTATATCGAAGAAGCAGCGCCAATAGAATCCCCTTTCCCAGCAGTTCGCAAGGCTCACTCATGTAACATATCCACTAGTAAGCTTACTCAAGATTATCGGTTATCCACTAGTAAGCACTGAAAATACAGAAAGAGATCACTACCAGAAACATTTAGGGTTCACGATTTATTCTCGGTCATCTGAAGGAAACTGTCATTTGTCGAGAATAAATCAAGAAGTGCCAACATTGCGTATCTGAACATTTTCTGTTTGAATCAATACGTTCCCGCTAAGACACTTCCTTCCGGCTTATCAAAAGGCAAACACCTTAGATTTGCTGTTTCTTGCTCACTTCGTTCTGTTTTCGGAGTAATGGGATTGTTTTACTGTTTTCTTGCTGATCATCACGTCAGAAACGGCTTATGTTGTTCAAAGACAAAATCGAGACTGATCCCTGCAGAGCTTGCGCGTTCCGCCAAATCGCGTTCCTTTGACACATATTCTGCCTTGGAGAGCGAGTGGTTTTCGGTAGATGGCTTCCCTCTTGGGTTGCTTTCTTACAAGTCAAACGGCAAAATGCTCACCGGAAAATGTGAATCGATTGGTGATGGAATCTGTGATGTCATTTTCAACGATTATGATGACGGGTTTGAGGAGGAGAATGCTGCTCTGTCACTTGTTCGGTTCCCCACTGCGGGAAACATGCCATTTCGAATGTGTTTTGCGTGGAAAAAACGACTATTTCGAATGTGTTTTGCGTGGAAAAAACGACTGGACATTGCTTTTCTAGTCGTTCATTCCCGCTATGGTAGCGATGGACATTCAGCTTCACAATGTGACTGGTCGATGTGCAAAACGCAGGCCAGGAAGCTACTGTTGAGCTTGAGCTACACCTTGAGTGCGRCCAGGAGAATGTTTTGGTCGCTGGGATCAATCGCGACGTGGCAGATGGCAGTGAAACCGTCTTTGTAAACGATGGAGCAAGATGTACCATGAGATTGCAAACCGAAGTCAATCAGGGCAATGACGAACGACCCCGCCAAGCAYGGGATGTTTATTTGAAATTTCTGAACGAGACTGGAGCGACAACGGTACCACAACGGCCGTGATGTGGTTCGTTGCTTGTTTTTGTTTAGTTTTCGGATGCATCGTCGAGAACTTTTTCGCATCTCGTGTTGCCAATTTCCCAGTATTGGCCGAGTTTTCAGACGTGCACATGCAATACATAAGGCACTACTCGTTTACAGATACATACGCCTACTTTACCGGTTCTGTGGTCTTGTTCTTTTTTTGGCTCATTGCAAAGTACGACTACTCGTACGAAGTATGACTACGAATTACGACTACACTGATTAATCCTAAATAGTAACTCGTGGAAAATACCGGTACCGTCGAGTAGAAATACCAAAAAGATATTACGGTAAGGTACTGGACTAGTATTTGTTTCGACTTGAACAATACCGGTAGGTAGACTGCTCCTACCTGCGAAATGAATTAGTGCCATAACTATGAGTTTACAATAAAGAGTGAGGTTATTCACTAGCTACTCGTGATTGTACTTCATCCTCAMAATGACAACGCCAAACTGGTCGAAATGGATAGAGCGAGAACAGCATCTTGTTGACATTTCCTGTGTTGACAACAAACGCTACCTTCAGCACCCGGGCTATGGTAGTGCGAAAAGAACTGCTACTTCCTCCTTGTTAAAATACCGTACAGTACTTTGTACYGTACGTGTTTTCATTCATTTATGAACCTTCTACACGATCTTGACCCTCATACTTAGTTGATTTCTTTTTTTTGACATCATCGTTCATCACTGATACTTTTGAAAAGAACGATAAGTGGAAATTTTCGACAGAAACA